AGCAAGTCAATTTAGTTTGAGTATTTCATTACCCAGCTGAAGAAAATTCAGCTGAGAATTTAAGGAACGATGAAACAGAGATTATTCCCATTAACTGAACATACTTTATGGGTCAGGTGACCAACTAAAAATTTTACTAATGCAGAAACTGATGAAAAAATTAAGAAAAGAAGGAGGAGTGGAGGAGATCACTTTCCATAAAGTTGTGTAATAAACACATTTCTCTCCCAAATGAACACAAGTTCAATTCCAGGATTTCCATTGTTTTTTGTTTGTTTGTTTGTTTGGTTTTTTTTTTTTTTTTTTTGATGACAGAGAGGAGTAAAGAAACTCCTTAAAGAGTTTCCGTTGGTCATATGTATATTTTATATCTTCCCCTTCTTAATCCCCCCCCCAGCAAATAATTATGCCTTCAAAAAGGTATTAAAATACAAGAACAAATAGAGAGCAGAACAATGCAGAAGACAGAGATGAGAGAAGCCAGAAAGGAAATAGACAGTACCTAACTTCAGTACATCAGTAAGCATGAAAACCAAAGACTAAGGATAAAATAAATAGTAGAGGTATAGGAAGACTACAGAGGAAAGCTGATCTCTGCTGATGAAATCATAAAAAGACCTAAAATTGGAGGCAAAAGTTCCCCAAWACAGAAAAAATGAATGAAGGTAGGATAAGGTGGCATTGCAGAAGGGGCCTTCACATGGAAGTCTGAATTCTGACGGGAGTGGTAGCAAGCCAACACCCTGGGAATCCAGCAGGTGGTGGCAATAWGCTCTGAAGGGAAATTGAACAATCCAAGAGAAACTACCTACAATCCAACACTTGGGATGTACCACAAAGTGGCTGGGGTCTTGTCTCCCCTGCAGCACTGGTGAAAACCCCCACATAGAGAGTCCCCTCTATGCTTTCTAGCTCCCATTTTACAGAGAGGGTGGGGAGTCAGTTTATCTGGCATTTGAGAAAAGTATTTTACACTTAAGAGAGAATCTGAAACAAAGTGATAAGAGGAACACACAGAAACTACACAGGGAAAAAAAAAAAAAAAAAAAAAAAAAAGCAAAGAAAGACAGACTTGTAAAGAGCCCTTTCACAAATATCCTCAAATAGAAAATAGAGGTTAATGGCTAGACGTTTTTTTCTAGTACTGACTTCATGTCAGACACTCTTAGAAATGTTTTATAAACATCAATTAAAAATGACACTATGTGGCATTTATAGTAAACACAATTCCCATATGTAAAAAGCAAATATGTGGCACCAAGAGGAAAACAATATTGTTGTTGTATTTAGAGTAAGTTATAAAGGARGCTTCACTCCATGCAATCTCACTCCAGAGCCCACATTTTGAACATTCTGTTGTCTAATTAAGACACAGCATCTGTGAAGCAATAATTAGATGATATAGAAAAAAGAYACTCAAAGAATAGGAAACTGCTCTAGAATGCAAAATATGAGTAGATATAAAACATTCAGGGAAGACGTGAAAGACAAAATTGAAATTACCTTGAAGAAGCCCCCCTCCCAATCAAAAAAAATAATAAAAACGTAACAGGATATGGTGAGAAACATCTGAATAAAAAGAATTCCAGGAAAAGACAAAAGGAGGATGAAAATTATGGAACAAAAAATGTATAAAAAAGAGAAGCCAAGTTTCTGGGTTTCTAGGCTATCYTATGGCAGCTCTGCACATGTGCCCACTACCTACAACTTCCCCTTGGGTTAGTTAATARCATCAGCTTTGCATTGATGTCTGAGGCTTTCCCTGCTTAGTCTTGCTTCTTTTCATTGTACCTTTCTCAGGAGTTATAAAATTATTTCATTACTATCTCCATCTCAATACATGCTTCCTGGTGGACACATAGATACCCACATTGTTGGAGCACTAAAAGTATCCTACAAGTAGAAAATAAAAGGCTCTTATCAAAGTACATCACTGTGAAATCTCAAGACAGGAAAAGATCCAAAATTATTTTAGAGAATAAATGCATAAAAAATCAAAATAGATTACAGTTGAAAGAATGGGTATCAACATGGTAGCAGAGTTCTCAAAAATGACACCGGAGTTTAGAAAATAGTAAAAAAAAAAAAAGTTTATTAAAAATCTAAGTTAATCTAAGATTTTTATTAAAAAACTAAAAAGATTATTAAAAATCTAAGGGATTTTAGTTCGCACTAAGAATTCCAGGAAAATAAAAAATCAAATTTTAAGATAGAACAAAGATGTTTTAAAGATACAAAGCTTTAAGAAATTTATTTGTAGGAAGCAACATAAAGAACTGAKCCAAGAAAGAGAATGGCATGGTATTCTGGAAGTAATAAGCAACTTAGAAAKAACAGTGACAGGCATTCCCAAGGTGCTGGTGAGAATGAGTCTAGTTTCAGGTAGCCACAAGCCTAGAATGTAACCCACCTGGATTGAAGTCTATGGAAGACTTGAGAGAATAATCTAACAAGAAAATCAAGTGCATAGAACAAATGATATGTTTGAATATATTCAGAGGAAATTTAGTGTCTTGGAAAAAAGTGGGGGATAAACAAACAAATATATGCAGAAAGTTCAATAAAAATAGTCCATTTTAATGAAAAAACAAACAGTGATGCTAAAACATAATTATAACATACATCATGTCTTAATATAAAAATAGTCATACAGACATAATTGATGTGAACATCAGTTTAGCTAAATATGCAGATATAACTACTTTGGAAGGAAGAGAAATAGCAGTTTGTATGTATCAGGTTATGTATAGGAGATATAGGGAATGGGGCACTGCAAATATCATTAAGAACAGCAAGGATTTATAATTAGTACTTTCATAATGAGAAGGAAATAATAAGTTCTTCAATGATAAAAATCCAATAGTGGCACTAAAAGCATATCTTTAGAAATGTATGGGAAGTAACAGAGAAAACTGATAAAATATTTAAAAGCATTTCTTAGGGGTATTAAAAGATAGGAATGGCTAATGTGACAAAGAAGTAATTTTTTAATAAATATTTTCATATTGTTTTACCTTTAAAGTCATATATGTGTAGATATATAATATTCTGATGATAAATAAAATATGTATAATATGCATAATATTTTTATCATGAGAATATTATATATTTGATATTTAATAAYATATATAGAATATTATATATAAAAATAAATATTGGTGGAAAACCGAAAGAATGGTACAGCTGGAGAACAAACATCAAGTAATAAGAACARGGCTTGCTAATTTCTAGTTAGGATATATTGTAACTTCATGCATTGCCTCTCTATTTTTCTTTAATGTACTTCACCTTCTTGTACTACCTCTCATTTTTATTGGTAAATAATCATATAACTGAAGATATTTAAAATGCTAAAATATATAAGGTAATTATAGACCCATTTGATCATGTTATTTTCTTACTAACAAGTGAATTAAGAAACATGGACTTACCTAAATTAGTGAGGAGGTAAGCAACTTTTTCATAAGCCTACAGTAGAGAGAGCAAGTAGAAAATATTAGTCTCCTCTTTTTGTGAAGCCTGGTATTTGCATTTTTTAAGGAAACATTTAAAGTATGTTCAACAAAATGCTTACATTTAAATTAAGTGTAAATATTTATTAATGCATGATATGTAGTGCTTTGCATAAACATACCCCAAATAGATAYAATATAAATGTGTATGAAAATACATATTCATGTGTACATCAACACATAAATACACTTATTATCTGCAACAGGGAGTCTTTTCTCTTGCCTATATTTATCTTAATTTTAAACAAGAAAATATTTAAGCAAAAGATTGTTAATGGCTGAGCAGAGATTTGATCCTCAAATTATAGAACCTTTTTTGCCATATTAGAAGGTCGAAAGTGAAAGTTTCTTTCTATTATTATTGATAAACAATATTCCAAACCATGACAAAAACAGTGTGCAAGTTTTCATTTCTAAAGAAAAATAGTGTTTTAGGTTATTGATAACAGAATCTAAGATGAATGTGTTCAAGCTGTTAGTCACATCATGTACAACAGATTTTTCTGATAACATTTTTCATCATCTCCCATCTTTTTCCTTCCCTTGCACTCTCTGACCAGTTTAATAGACTTAATTAAAGACACATACTTTATAATATTTTAAGTAAATAYCATAGGAAAATTATATTTGTTTCAGGTATAAGGCAGATATATGTTTGTAGGCATAGTGTAAACATTTGAATATTACTACATAACCACAAGATTCAATTAATTACTATTTAGGTTAGTCCAATAAGATGTTGGCATGTAAAATTAAAAGTYATTGATCTGGAACTGGGGTTATAGCTCAGTGGGGGAGCACTTGYCTAACATGTGAGTAGTTTAATACAGCCCCCTGAAAAATGATAAGGACTTGAACATTTTAAGAGCTGTTGACATTCCAGAGAGTTCTCTCAGCTGAATTACTGTGTTTCATCTTAGTTATGATTCAAATCTATCTCTTTCTAAGACATAAACATCTTGAGACAGAAAGATTTCAGACTACAATRTTCTCATACTTTCCCATAATGTATGTATTTATTACTACACCCATACACTATCATTTTCAAATTTTGGGACAATTTCAGGAGTTAAGCAGGAGGGACTTCATCAAGTGACATATAGTACTTGAGTAGCTGTTGTGCCTCTAGCACTGAGTTGACTGCTCTCACAGGGGTTGAAAMCTAATTTCATCTGAAACTGCAATGTAGAGTATTTCACATGAGCCAAACWGTGCTTTACATACATTGCTATTCCTTTACAATAATTTTATTAAATAGATAAAATAAGTTTCATTTTACAGAACAGGAAACAGATTTAGAATGTCAGGCATCTGGCCTGATAGAGCACTGCTAAGCAAGTATAATTAAGATCTGATATCATGGCTATCTTGTAACATCTATGCTATGCCTTGTAACAGTTCAAGATTCTTGTCTGAATACCTAACACACAGAGCTCRTCTACAAACTTGGATCAAAATAAATGTAACTGGAAGAATATTCAGAAAATTACAATACCTTTGGAGGAATGTTGTAAAATGACAAAAGATGCTGTACTGCTGCTGGTAAGCTTTCTGGGGCACTTGAGAACCTGCATCATCCAAGGTTCTAATGYTATGGATGATTGGTACCATCAGGATGGATGGGCTGTACAATCAACCCATGCTAGTGATTGTTAACTTCAGAACTTCAAAGTGCAGAAGGAAATCCTGTTTTAAATACATGAACTGTATAGTATATGGTAGCAATCACTTTGCCAGGGCAAGTTGTAAGAGCATGTGTATGAGTATGTGAAATGCAATGGAAATCTGGGAGAGGAGAGAATGAGGGTTTTAGGGAAAACTTTTCTGGAACCTACACATTACACTCTCTCTCTCTCTCTCTCTCTCTCTCTCTCTCTCTCTCTCTCTCTCAAACACACACACACACACAATACCATATTGGAGAAACTATAATTCTAAAAATAACCCACTAATACATTTATAAGCAGAGTATTTTTATTCATATATTTTAATTAGGTCAAATATTATTTGTATGTATTAATTAGGTTAAAATATTCATTAGAAACTTTTAATGGTCAGGTAGTGTTTGTGTAACCAAACAACAGTGAACCAGTAGAAGCAGTCTCTACTTCCATGGAAGTTAGACTCCAGGGGGCAGAGACAAATAGCAAACCATACACAATTGCTTTTCAAGAGGGCTCAGTGAGCAGAGGAATGAAACGAGGGAGGGAGCCAAGCAAGAATGTGGAGCAAGMACCTTTAAGATACAGAAACAGTAGTGCAAATGCCCAAAGACTGACATGGACTTGCTTTGTCTTATGAGGGACTAGAAAGTTAGAAACTAGGAGTGGCAGCAATAAGAAAAAAAAAAAATAGTTGCGATGAGTCACAGATCTGAGAAAGGAACATTTTATAAGGGCATGGGTRGCCAAGGTATAAAGTTTAGAATTCATTCCAAGCTTAGAAATCATCAGCTTTCCACCAATGCTTGTTAGGGTGTTATGCCAAAATTGAAAAGAGCAGCAAAGTCAGGAAAAGGACACAGTGGTTATCTGGGTCACACCAGGGAGTTCTACACTTGTTTTATTCCTTTGCACTCTGAGTCAGAACCCTTCTGTCCAGCCTCCACTGTGAAAACAAACTCCAAGAAGACCTTTGCAGTATTGAAGAAGGCTATTGTTTGCCAGTTATCTACCTTTCTGTATTTCTAGAAACCATGGAAAAAGACATAAACAAACTAAACAAATATGTTTTTAGAAGAGCCTTATTAAATGACTCATTTGGCATTGCCTCCTCTCCTGGGTAAGATGTGCACTCCAAGCCTTTGATCCACCCTATTCCATAATAACCTATTTGCATAACAATTGCTGATCAGTGGTAACCAAGTATTAAGAAAAGCTAAGTATATTTGGAAGCCTTCCATAATCAGGACCTTGAAAGAATCAGGARTGTATGCTCTGGACTCCAGAAAAGGAAACGGATCAACAATAAGGAAGACTCTAGAAACATCATGGGGTACTTATATTAACCAAATGTAGTTAGGGATTTTTCTTCTTTGCACTTATGATGTGATCTCTACATGGTAAATGGATTTTTAAAATGATATGAGGAACATCAAAAGAAGTTCATTCATTTCAGGAGCTGGAAAGATTTAACTGGCATAATCCTAGAGTACCTCTGCTCAGATGTTCCTATATTTTTCTTAGGAATTACCTATTAAGCCTGATGTGAAAGAGCTGTCTTGCTGATGCAATGTTAATTAAAGTTTGACTGTGAAGCCACAAAAATACTTCTTTTCAGAGTGATTTCACATTTTTTATTTTTATTAATATGATTTTGAAATATTTCCTGATAGAAATAATAACCATACTATGCATGGCATCTGTAAGTAGCACTGTATTTTCATGGGAATGCAAATRAAGAAGCAAAGAATGGACTTGGGAATGACCAACAGTTGGTTTTCAAATTCTATCACTGAAGATTTTTAGTTATATATTTTGAAAAGAAGCTTTAACTATGGTTAAATTATTTGCTACTTATTTGTGGAATATGTGGTTTCTGATGTTGGCTGTGCATCAAAATCACCCTCATTACGTTAAATCAATGATTCTCTAATGTTCTTTTAGAGGCTGATTGGATCAAAATCACCAGAAATARTTTTTAAATGTTTTGTTTCAAGTACAGTTTTTCCACAAAGGGAATTTGGAATGGGACTCAGGCATCTGCAATTGTTTAAAAGTGTTTGAGATWATTTGATGTATAGCAAGAATAGGAAACACTTTTAAAATTACCTTCATAATCTATACAATGGATTTGTAATCAAATTTTGATTAAATTGTTTATATTTTTAACCTCAGTTGAATACTTATTTAGGGGTGCATGATTGACCTATTTTGAAATATTTAAGAATGTATAATATTTGGTTATTAGCTTGAATTAAAATAAGTGCAACAAGCTTGAAATATACTAAAAATACAATTATTAAAAAATAATTTGAGCACACGTAATATGAAGCMTACTAAGACATTTGGAGAATAAAATATATCAATTTCATTCAAACAGGATATTCTAAATGCCTTTAGGCATTAACGAACAAAGAMCTGGGGACACAAAAGTGAGCAAGTGACAGCCCCTCTTCATATGAGCTGAACACTTTGATAATGGGAGAAAAGAGACAAGATATGTCCTGCAACAGGGGGATGCTCACAAAGGGATTGCTTAATTCTGCTACAGAATCTGATGGGTGAGAGAATTGGCAAGTCCAAGAACTATGTGAGGAGAATAAAAACAAAGACAAGATTATTCAATTCTATCTGTGAGACTAAAAAAAAAATATATAGAAGAAGTGATTCTGAGCCAGATGAAAAGACAGTCTCCAGACAAAAGAAATATGCACATTTGAGACAGAAGATTCAAGAGACATGGTGTGAARTACCAAAGTGCTACAGGACAGGCAAAAGTGATTCTGTAGGCTGGAGTGCAGGGTACAAAAGAGAGGAAAAGAGAGAAATTCAGAGAAGAGAGGAAAACTGGCTTGAAATAATGGAGGGCAAGGGGAAATTAATTTAGATTTACATCAGAGGAATTGGAAAACTTAAACAGTCTAAGGAAGGCACAAAATAAAATGATCAAAATTGCAATTTAGATAGTTCCATCTTGGTGCACAAGAGAGATAGGAAGAGTTTAGAATAGAGACAGGAAGATTAACTAATTAGAAGGCTGCTGTGACTGTCCAAGCAAAACATGACAAGTAACTGAACTAAAGAAATGGGAATAAGAATGATCAGCCAGTAACTGCAATGTTTCCCCAGCAGAATTCACAACAGTCAGTCAGTAATCTGATGAAAGAGTTAAAAGAAATGCACAAAGTAAAGAGTAAGGTTTCTGGCTACAGGTATTATACCTTAAGAGCTCCTAGTTTAAAGAAAAAAAAATTGACTGATGTAAATTATTGGCCATACTTAGCATTTCATAACTTAATACATATGGATAATAGTTGATAAGCACATTGGAGTAATTGAATATATTGACTAAGGCCAAATTCTTCAATTGTGGAAACRGTGAAACAGGACTCTTGAATTCAAGTTATTAAGAAACTAAGAGCATATTTTTATTAGTCATATGTTGAGTTTGGCCTGAAAATAAGATAAAGAGAAGTAGCATCTGATTTTCTAAATGAACATGTTAGTGGTATAATATTTGGTATTTTAATCTATCCTTATTTAACTAAGTTCTTAAGTAATCCTCTGTATTCAGGTGAAACAGAAGGGCTACTTAATAATTTGTGAAGTGCACTAGCATCCTGAGGAGAAAGAAAATGTGTAAATTCAAAGAGCATTATTATTTGATGCTGATTAAATCTCAAGACTATAACTTTTTTTCACATTGGTTAAGTTGGCTGCACATTCATTGCTTTTATGATAAATCTGTTTTAAAATCTTTTCCTTAGTTAGTTGCAAAAGCAAATGAGAAACCTTTATAATCTATTCCATTTCTATCAATCCCTGGATCATTATTCCTAAAGGGCCAATAAGCAGAAATGAACATTTAGAAAAACAAAGTTCTGACTTTTCCAGGAACCCTGCATGTTTGTTTTCTAGCATTAAGAAGGTATATGGGCTGTAGTGTTTAATCACATGGAGCTGGTGGGATTTTGAGAATCTAAAAAAAAAAAAATGTTTTTTTGTGACTCAAATGACACCATGCTTACCTACCTTCAAAGGTCTTATTTGTACAAACAGATGTTCAATCTATTGAGTCCAGTCTTTGTTTGCTATAAAATGTTAGGAGCTTTGGAAGGAAAAAAAATACCAGAAGCCTCATCAAACATATAAACTTAGAACAGGTTGAATCTGAACCTTATGAGAGAAAGAAAACCATATGTTTAAGAGAAAATGCTGGTTCTAGTTAGGGGATGTTAGCTATGAAAGGGACAGGTGATAGAACACTCAGACTTGAAGAAACTGGTGATTAAAAAGCAACTAGAAAAATATAAAACTAGATTCTGGTACACCAATGGAAACTTTAGTCACATTTWAATTTTTATACTATCAGTGATAAGAGAAAGAACTTTTTTGAAAAAAAAAWTTGAGGGTCAAGCTTTCATCTCATTCAAAGACAGACTCTGATCATAGTTCTTCAGCTCAACTGAGATGATGGTGATTTCACTAGGTGGGAACAAAGGATTGAACACAGACCTGGAGTGTCTGTTCCAGAGCTGTCATGCTTAACTTACCAAGAAAAAAAAATGAACACATTTGGCCTCTTCGTTTTCCTTTTCAATGACATATTCCTCATTGTCAGTTCATTAATTTACTCAAAATGTTTTTGAAGATCAGTAGGTCTTTGGAACAGATTACCAAATAACAATGGAACATAGGGTACTATTTYTAAAGCTATAATAATTGATGGGAGGTGAAGTGGGGGAATAAAGAGACACAAAACCATTAATACCGATTACCTGCAATGGGTAAAATTATTTTATGGTGGTAATGTTGGTGRGGAGCATGATGGATTGAGGAAGGTGACTTCCACTTAATATTTTAAATGTTTTTATACTTTAATACTCTTTTACAATAGCAAGGTATTGATTTTAGAATTCAGAGAAAGGATAAAGATAATAGATTTTAAAGAGGACATAACAAAACTATTACAATTGAAAATTATTAGATTGGTATGAGTTCTGCATGAATTAATTTTTTTCTTATGTTGTCAGACACATTTGGCAAAGACACAATAGAGCACAGTATATATTCTCTTTCTATCCAAAGACACCTTTGAGTATTTAAATATTTATGAAGGGGTAATAGATTAAAGAAAAATGAGCAAAAATTAAATATCAATGAATGCAGATGTAGGCTGGAGATTTAGAAAGACTAAAGAAAAAAAAGATCATCATCATTACCACATTTGGAACTAACAGGAAATCAATATTCAAATTCTGTGTATTATATAACGATGAGAAAAAATGGGAAAACAAATAAAATGCTTGTATTTTGTAATAAAGGAACAGGAATAAAAATAATTATTAAAGAAAATAAAATTTAAAATACTAACAAGAAACAAATATAGAGAAAGAAATTTACTTGTTAGCTTCTTCTGTGCACTAGAAGAGGACACATTTAATCTTTCAACACCCTTATGTGTTAGTTTTTATTTCCTTTGTTTGAAAGATCAAGAAATTAAAGCTTAGAGATGTTGCATGGGACACCCTGGTTCACCTGGGCCAGGCAGCTTCATTTGCATACAAAGTCCACTGCTTTTCATCAGGAAACCAGGTTGAGGAGCCACTGTCCTGACTGATGAAAGCCTGGACAGGCTTGAGAGAGACAGAGGGGAGAGGGGAGCACAAATGAGGAGCAGAGGATCTGAGAGTGTGTGCCGGGAGGTTGCTCAGCCACCATAAATGTTTAAGTGGTGAAAGTGATCCAGTCTATGTGGCTGTGSTTTTAGGAGTGATTCACATATAAAGTACAAAAAAAGGAGTGCATTTAATTTATGATAGAATGTTTTAAAAGCCAAACTGACACCTGTTTGTAAATCAGTAACTCCATAGAGAGAGAGAAATATGTGCATGTTCAAAAAGAGATATATTAAATCAAAAGCATGTGTTACATATTATCCATTACTGAGAGATAATACCGTAAACTTTTGATTATCATTCTTTTCAGTTTCAAAATCCAAGTATATGTATGTGTGTGTGTGTGTGTGTGTGTGTGTGTGTGTGTGTATTCTAGAAAATTAGAATTATGTAAAATTCTGTCTCCTTCTTGTGGAACTTTATTTCATGTTCTTAAATAATATTAAGATAGCATTTGAATAGGTTATATATTATATTATATGGATCTGAATTACCATTATCTCACCCTTGATCAGCTACTAAGTCTCTTTTCCTTTTCTTTTTTCTTTTTTTGCTATTTTAAATAATAATATGACATTAGTACCCTCTACATGAGCTTTGGATTATATGGTTAAGGGTCTCTTTAAAAGAGACTAACAGAAGTTATTATCAAAGATTTGTATTTTATTAGTTTTAAAAAGAATATATTGATTTTAGAAAACCAAGAAAATTCAAAATATATGGTAAATATAATATACTACAGTAAAAAATCATATAAAATCTTATATTCCAGAGAAAAAGCCTACTAGTATTTTGATATATAATTGCAAATATTATCTATTTGGCTATAAGTGCTCTTTAGTTTAATCTTTGATACCARCTTTGTCAGATATATTTTTAAAATTCAAGTTATTATAATGTTGTTCAAGAAACATAATATTTTTGCCTAAATTCTCGATTAATTTGGGCAACTATAAACTATCTGGTGTTATACTTTTTCAATGTTTCCTGTACCYTTCAATCTATGACAGAAAGTCATAAATTATTTTGTGTCTTGTTTGAAGATATTATAAATTAGATTCTTCTTCTACAAATTAAATCAAAACTGAAGAAAGCTGATTAAGTGAAAGATGTTAAGTATTTTCATGGCATTAAAATTTATACTTTTATCACAATGAGTATTCATTTTCCCTAAGGCCTTTYATTAACTTTCTAAAATTTAAACAGCAAAACCTCCTCCTGGTAAAATATATAACATAAGCATTATCACATTTGGAAATAATACATATTACCTGTAAATAGTATCATTATTTATGCATTGTTGAGCTACCTTTATAAATTATCTCATGATGTACATATTCTAGCATCAACACTTACTATATACKATTTGCAACAAGTTTTCTTAAGTTCTCTAAATCCCAGTTTCTTCATCTGCATAATGGAGAGAATATCAACCTTGTGGGATTTATGGAAGAGCTAAAATAAAGATATTATTATGGATGTGCCAGTTAGTGCCACCTGTTTTCAAAGACAATTGGCTTTTATACACAGACTTTGTTGAACAGGTAGGCACAGGCATAATATCACTTCTTAGTCATAGACATTTGGTTTATGAGTCAAGAAATGCATGTGGTGTTGAACCAAAAAGATGCTCTCCTTGAGAAATCAGCACCTAACCTGACAAAATGTTCACATATTTAGAGCCAAAGAAAACCAAGKCATAACAATGTCACAGCACAACAGAATGACAGAAAGAGAGGTCACAGATAGGTAGAGAGCTTTATCCTCCTGACAGAAGAGGGAAAATGTTCATCAAATGTTCATAAAGAAGTATTGTGAAGTGGGGATGGGGAAAAGAGAGAGGATCAGGGAGACAAGAGGAAGAGAGAGAGAGAGGAAGATTGCTTTTGATCCAGAGAAAGAAAAATGGAATAGCTGTCTGATTATTTTCCATTTCACCTGGGGCCTTGGAAACAAGACTGCACTTTCAAACAGATTTTCCTATGTCTTTCCAACAAATTCTATGAGCTTATTTGAGTGGTTTTCTAATTCATACAATCCCTTATTTGTTGAAAATCACATAGCACTACCTCTAGCACTTATATATTTAATGAATAGAAGTTATCACAAATCTAGATTATGAACTCAAAAGGCAGGGAAGGCAATACAACTAGCATCAATTTTCTTTTTTWAAAAAAAATCTATTCTTTAAAACATATGGATGAAATGTACATATTTCCCTAGTACAAAGGAAAGAGTCATTTTTCCTGCCCATCCCCTATTCACCCASGGAAAAATATGACTGTATGACTATAAACACTCACAAGATTCAGCAACATGATGATTATGAAATTGATACAGACAGCAGCAGCAGATGTCGCAAACTGCCAGTGTTGTTTGATGAAATTCCACTTGAATGATGCGAACCGTTCCATGACCACCAGGCGGTACACCACAACAGCAAACACAGCAGTGATCACCAGAGAAATCTGCAATGTGGGAAATGAGAGAAGACACCAGTGTTTCGCATCATTAACAAATCAGAAGCAAACACTGTCTCTAAGAGTTGAAGGTGTTAGACTTTCTAAGAAAGAATACAAGGATTAAATTTTCTCTCTTAACCAAGTGAACTACATTAGAGTCAGAACAGTATAAGATTTAAACTTAAACATGATAAATCTGAGAGGTAATGCTTATTTTAATTAGATAATGCAACCATTTCACAATGCATACATACTTCAGGACATCAAGCTGTACACAAAAGATACATACAATTTTATTTGCCATTTAAAATACACAAATAGGAAATGGGAGTGTAGGTCAGTGGTAGAGTGCATGCTTAGCATGTGTACAGTCTTAGGTTCAGTTAACATAAAATAGAATAAGGTAAAACAAATAAAACATCAAAAACAAAAAGACACAAGAAATGTTTAAGCTGTTCTAAGTATAAATTTATCATACTAATGGGCAGATTCTGTCTGACTTTTCYTTCAAATGGAATGCTCAGTTTTAACACAGGATATGCGATTGCAACTTGGATATTTTCATTTTATTTTAACTTACATATGTTTCTTTCAATGAGAGTTTTATTTAAAGAAGTGCAAAACTTTCCCTTATAAAATGCTATTACCAGCTGTGATTTCTATTTTAATTGAAAGAATTACCTAATATTGAAAAGGACAAGGTTTCTTTTGTACTCTCAGGGTCATGAAATGAGTTGGGGTTACATTGTGTATTTTAAAACCTGGAATCCCACAACATTCTGATAGCAATGGTTGTACTCTACCATGAAGAATATCCCTGAGACAGACACGAGAAGACGAGTGATTTTGTCTGATGAAGGCTGATGTGGCTCAGGTTTTCCTGTGATGGGATTTATTAYTTCCATCTTGTAATACTTGGCTTCAAACTGGGGGCGAAGTGTTTCCTACAAGAGAAACTAAAGTTATTTCAGCATCAAAACCATAAATTAAAATTTTTCCTCTAAGAATCAATAGAAAACTTCTAGATTTGACCTATTTTTACAATGTCTTCACAAAGATGCCACTTACTAAAAATAGGATGCCAATTACTTTCCAAATAAACTCTAAGCTATATTTTAATTAGTATAATTCTCCACTAATGCAATTTAAGGAAACATCATAGCAGTAGTTTAATAAACACATACTTCATTATTGACCTCTGTTATCTTCATGAAGTTAGAGATCTTGTTAGTAAAAAACATTGAGGGAAGATCTAATGGTGTGCAGCTGCTCCTAGCCTGGAGGTCTGGGCTTTGGGTAGTTCTCAGCAGCCTGTGATATACCAGTTTCCTTATCTCCTGGTTTCCTAACACCTCACCTCTTCTTCTTCCCATTCAATAAGGTCCCAAGCATAGGTCAATACACTTCTTCTCCTTTTCCAAAATTCCAGGAAGACTGTGGCTATAAAATAAAAAATGATGACAATAGTAATAATAATCTTGTACCCAAACCATGAGACATTCTTTTGTTCTTCAGATGAAGTATTTTCAAATTGTTAAATTAATAAAATTAACTATTATGAAAGCAGTATTGAAATTTCTGTTTTCTTCACCCTCTTTTCTCTCTCTCTCTCTCTCTGTCTCTCTCTCTGTCTCTGTCTCTCTCTCTCTCTCTCTCTCTCTCTCTCTCTCTCTCTCTCTCTCTCTCTATATATATATATATATATATATATATCTCACTCCATCAGCATGCCTTCCTATGGGGGTAGTAGGGTAGGGGGATGGTGATTTCTTTCACTGAAATTGAGCAGAAGTCTTAACACGATTCATCAAAATGCTATGAAAGAAGGTCAATATTTAAAAAGATAACTATTATTGTTCTTTTTGACCTGCAGATGCTCATTCAAAATTATTCAGAAGACTCAAAGCCTTCTCCAGGTATGAAAACAAAGACCAGATGCTATTTGTTCAGGATTCTGGAAAAGAAGGGTGTGGGAGAAAGACAGGAAATGAGCAAAGTCATGTTGGTGAYTAGGAGAAGAAGCAAAAGAGCAAAGAAAACCATCTTTGTTGAATATTCTTGGTAGACTATGCATGGACTKAAAGGGCTTCAATGAAAATAGTATGCTTGAACTATCATCTAAATATTCTGCACAAACAGCTAAGAGAAAGATTGTTTTCTTTCTGGTAAATGGAACTAAGAACTCACATACATGTTCTTAAACATCTATGGTATTGTTCATTCATGCGTCTACCGATTTGCTGTTCTCTTATTTTGGTAAAGGGACTCTAACATCAGAGATCTTAGTATTTAGTGTGGGGAGGGATATTATCTTCATGAAGTTAATTTGAATCATAATAAGAGTTAAATGAAGGAAGAATTACAGTGCAAAGAGAAACAAATATGTTTGGGGGAAAAGATTTCAGGAAGTTAATAGACCAAAGCAAGGTCTTCCTCTCTGTTTACTTTCATTCTCCTCTTGAATTCAACAGAAAGGAAGGCCGTGGAGAGATGATTGAGAGGTTCTCTTTCTTTTTTTCTTTATAATTGAAAATCAATACCAATATTGATTAGAAAAAAAATACAATGTTCATAGTTGCCTTACCTTACATTTTATCTCACTTTAAGATTCACAAAACCCTTTCTCACAATTTTAATTGTCACTCTCAAAACAGTTCCAAGGAAATATGTCACATAGTGTTATTACTTAGATTTTGGAAACAAAGGTGCTTAATCATTTGTGCCCAAGATAATACGATCAATAAATGGCAGACCTAGGGGTGAAACTTGCTAGTTATTCTGCACACACAATGCCTGGTTGATGCAGTCTTTAATCTCAATCTTTCTCTCCCTCCTCCCTTCCCTCCCTCTTTTTCATACCTACTATAAAGATCTTTGTCAACCTCTTGAGGTTATGTTCCTGTTTGCACTGTGGTCCTTCCTTCATTATAACTCTTAAAATGTAAGCTAACTTTACAAAGCTTACTCTTATACTCTGCCATCTACTAATTTTCTGTAAAGTTGTAGAAGAGTACATATGGAAAAAAACCAAACCAAAACAACAACAACAATAACAACAAAAACCTGGCAAATTCCATTGACAGCAAGACCATGTTAAAATGGTAGTCTGCAGTCACTGTTACCAATGAGAGGATCTAGGAATCAAGAGGGAAGTGGGATATAGAGGAAGTATGCAGAGGAAAAGCCATAGAGGATAATCAAAGGGAGAAAAACTCCACAGTTTTAAATAAATAAGAAAATACAATGATTATAAACACAGGACATATAAATTTTAATACAGGGAGAACATGGATCACTAATCCAAGTCAAGTCTTAAGGTTTCAGTGTGTTGCCTATTGTTTTCTTAATGTATCTTTCCAGCATATACTTGAACTAGAGGCATCTGACACAAAAACTAGGGAAGACAAATGTTATCTTGTGTTTGGCATGATTATAAATGAAGGTAATAACATTGTGGAAGATACATGGGATCCTTCTCAGACTGAAGGGTGTTGTCTTTGAACGTTATATTGAACTAGTTTATCTCAGGTTGAGATATATTCATTTCATTCACGGCTTACTTAGTTAGAATCTGAAGTGAATGAATATTCTCACTCTTAGAAATTAMTTAGAGGGCTGGGGATGTGGCTAAAGCGGTAGCGCGCTCCCCTGGCATGCGTGCTTCCTGGGTTCGATCCTCAGCACCACATACAAACTAAGATATTGTGTCCACCGAAAACTAAAAAAATAAATATTAAAATTCTCTCTCTCTCTCTCTCAMAAAATAATTAATTAGAAAGAGGGCATACAGAATAATTTACCAGCATGCCAAGCACAGAGGAAGGAAGCAAATTATCCTTTAATGATCCCTACACTAAGCATATCAATAAAAATATAATTATAATAAAACAGTCAATGTTGAAATTTAAAACAGCAGTTGCTGCTAAGGCTATAGCATGATTGATGAGTTACACAGAAACCATCTGAGGTGATTAAAATATGTTTTAATTGAAGTGGTGATTATATAAGTTCATGTATTTTTCAAAAGTGATCAAACTGTACTTAAGATCTATAGATTTCATTGAATATAAAGAATGCCTCAATAACTAGTTTTTAGAAAGTAACACTCTCTCTCTCTCTCTCTCTGTGTGTGTGTGTGTGTGTGTGTGTGTGTGTGTGTGTGGTGCTGGGAATTGAACCCAGGGCCTCATGCATGCTAGGCAAGTGCTTTACCACTGAGTTACTGCCCCAACCTGAAAGTAATTTTTTTAATACCAAGTGGTTAATTGTATTATTTTACTTGATCCTTAGTGGTTTTCCCCAGTTTTTAGCAGTGAGGAGTTCTAATCCTTCTGTGAATAGCTGGAAGCAGGAATGCAAACCCAAATTATAAGCAAGGCAACTAGATTGCAGCTGAAGGGTAGGCTGAACAATTAAAGGTCTGCATGGTTCTCTGACACTGCTGTTTTAAGGAGCCTTGATTAGAGAAGAGGCCAAGACCTTATGCCAAGACCTCAGCAAAAGGATGAGGCAGCACCCAATTTCAATGACATCAAGGTCCTCTCAGAGAGGTAAATGTGGAGGCCAGGTTTAAACATAGAAGGAAGGCTGAAGCTCACCCTGAAGTAGAATATGACCAAGTCCATCTAAACACATTCTAATTCCAAAAATACATAATGAAATACAGTCCTATGTTACCCGAGGTCCTCATCAAGATGTGACCCACTGGTGAACATATTATTGCCTGTCCACTAGAGTAAAAAGTCTTATTCAAATGATGGAAATTAGGAATGGATGGCTGAGAATACTGAGATCTTAATTACCATGATTGTTTTGTCTCAGAGAAGCTATATGAAATTAATATCATCCTTGATATTAGAAAGATAGAGAATTAAAAAAAGGAGGTTGAACTATCATGTAGTTCAGAATTGAGAGATGTGCAAGGAACTTTCAAGAGGAAACAGAAATCCTGTGAAGGAGTCCATGAATCAAGGACTTCCAATAATGCACCTGATAAATCTTCAAAATGGCAAGCAAACAACAGTCATTTTATTATAATGGGTGATAAAATATTTTGCATGTATACTTAATTTTGGGATCCTAGCTGGATCAGTTAGTTTCYGAAGCAAACACAATGAGAGAATTAATGAGAAGCATTAATGATAGCAGCCCTGCCAGGTTTTAGAAGGGGCAAATATAGGAAGGGTTCAAGAACTAGAGATTTGAATCAGGGAGATTTATAGTTAAATCTTAGATTTATGTTAAATCTTAGAGTTTTAAAATATCCCTGTGCCCAGGTTCTACCTTAGATCAATTAAATCACTATCTCTGGAGATGATCCCCTAGCAACAGAATTTTTTGAAGCTTCCAAGGACTTCCAATGTTGCAGCCAACATTGAGCACTATCCCCTTGAGAAGAAGCGGCTGTGCTGATAAAAGGCAGAATGGAAATCAAAGTCATGGCAATTAACTGTGTAGAACCTCAGTGCCAGAAGCGTAGTCAAGCTGTAGTCAGAAATGAAGACTAGGATTTAATTGTTTACTTCCAATTATTTATAAAGTATTTTAATAATCCCTTTAGATACATTGCTTATAATGTCTTTATCATTCGTTCTCTCAATAGTTCACAAAAATCTGAGTGCCAGCTACTTTATTGAGTATATATACAAAATGTGCCTCAAAGTTTTTATTGTCCACAGTTTCATAGATTACAAATTCGGAATTCTGAAAGCTGAGGTGACTTTCCAAAATCAAACAGATGGTCTGAATTTAAGTCATCCTAATTCCAAAATTCACAATCTTTCTACCATCCAATGTTTCCCCAGATGTTAATGGGTAGACTTGAAAATAAAGATAGTGTAAGGTGAGAGTGGAAATCTGAGAGCAAGTTGTGAAAGCCATGAATAAAGAAGTATCCTGGAGATATGTAGATATAGAAGTAGAAAGGAGAGTAGAAGTCAAACAGCATGGAGTTCACAGGAGGGAACCCTGGTGTACAAGGTCACAGAAAGGATTTTCTGGGAGGAGCACACAAGACAGGTGGTGCATGGTGAAGAGGGGAAGGAGGTGTATTAAAACTTACTCAATGTTAAAATATAAATACTTTAAGATTGAAAGGAAATAAAGCAAAAGTCACTGCTTTCTTAAAGAATAAATTGTCACTATAGATACAGAAATAGGTATAGAAAAATTAGATATATTATAGATATATCATGCTCCAAAGAATGTATACCAAATGTGAGTGGATTATGGAGAACTTTCACTTTCTATATCATACACAGTGCACAAGACAGCATGGGCAATTATGTGTTTTTTTTTTTTTTTTTTAAAGAGAGAGAGAGAGAGAGAGAGAGAGAGAGAGAGAGAGAGAGTTTTTAATATTTATTTTTTAGTTTTCGGCAGACACAACATCTTTGTATGTGGTGCTKAGGATCGAACCCGGGCCGCACGCATGCCAGGCG